GGTCTATGGACCCCATGTGACAACATTGATTGGCCAAGCGCTGTCAGATATAGTAAGTTATATGATCCTCTATATCTGGAAATATGAGTATTTTCTTGAGCTCCTGGCTCTGAATGGAGTAGCATTGGAGAGAAGGAAAAGTTGGTATAATCATGAGGGCATGGAAGATTAAATCAAACATTTTTATTTGCTCTAAACTGGCAAAGCACAGGTTTGCTAAGCAGGCCTCCAACTTGTGTTTAGGGCCTATATGTGGATAGTGCAATTGTGCAAGAAATCTTATGGTGTAATGAGACTCACAGTAGAACAGGATGTTGAGAGAGCCACATGATATTTAAGAAGATACATCAGTTTAAAAAAAAAATACATTATTTCCATTCTTGATCACCAATGATTCAGGAGCTCTGTGAAAAGCAACAAGCATTCATTTTAAGCAGCACTGAAGATGCCTGTAGACATTACCCTGCATTCTTCTAATTCAGCAAACTATCTAATGTCTATGGAGCACTGGATGACACTGACAGGCATAGCTCATTGGGGTGAAAAGTAATTGAGCAGGTGAGATCACCTCTCTTTTGCGTTACCCCAATAAGCCTTTATGTGAGGTATCTGCAGCAGCCCTCGCCTTTCCTCCATAGTCCTCCTTAATACAAAGGGGCTTGTTGGCACCAACTCTGTATTATGACAGCGCATTTCTCTGCCCCTACACAATGCACACCAGCATGTGAATGGACACTGTTAACCTTTCAACTTTTTTTTACATTAACTATCGCAGCAAGTACAGTTCTGCTATAAAAACCTACTTTGGCCACAGCAGGAAAATTAGGTAATTAATGTGACTTAAAGGAGAACTATGAGATGAGTGATTTCCACTCACCTCATAGTTCTAGCCGACCTGTGACAATGAGACTGTCACAGGTCGGCTCAGTAGATCGGGAGGTGAGCGAACAGATACCTGCGTTCGCTCACCTCTCGATCCTGTCACGGCTCTCTGCCGTGACAGGGGAGGGGCTGGATTCCCCCGCTCCGATCCGCCAGCGCTGACTGGCGGAACAGACGGGGGAGGGGGCGGGTACAGCTGGCTCTGCCTCTAGATAGGCAGAGCCAGCTGTCACTCACGCAGCTGGGCGGATCTCGACATCGATGTCGGGATCCGCTCAGGCTACGGCATCTCAGTATACCGCGAGCTGTAGCGCGCGGTATACTGAGCTTAGGGTAACGGGAGGACGCTAGTTTGTGTCCTCCCGTTACCCTAAGGAGAACTATGGGGAAAAACACTGACCCCATTGTTCTCCTTTAACAGTAATTAAATGTTACAGTAATTTTACTAGTTCCTATTGAAATGAATGGTTCAAATGCATAGGTAGCAGGTACATTCAGTGATAACCAGACTGTGCAAGGACCCAATAGAGTTCAGAAGTGCACCTCTAGTAGGTGACACTAATATTTGTTCATCCATTGCTGAAAAACTATTTTGTGCAGTGAGATTGTGTGAACTGCTTGAAGAGCAGGTAACTAACCTCTTAAATCTACTCTCCTCCCACACATTACTGGTCAATTAGTGGCTCCATATCATTAAATCATTAGGGCTAATTAGTGTTGTATATGCTAACTGGTATTGAGTCTCATCTCCATTTGACAAAGTGAATAGTTGAGCCACAGGGCAGAACAAGCACACTCTTGGTCCAATGTCATTCATTTACATGAGTATGAAAGCTTCAAAGTCTGGTACTGCCTGGAAGACAACACCACGAAGAAAAGAAAAAGATCAAAAAATTGGTAGAGATACTGAGCATTAGGGACAATAAGAGGCACGTCAAATGGCCTCCAAGCCTTGAAAGCTTATACTGTTTATTGGGTTCCACCCTGTGCTGGAGAAATGACACGTCCATTGTTCTATATACTGCAGGGTCAGTTTGTGGATTATTATTTCGTAATAGGTACACAGCCAAAAATGAAAAAAGGGCATGGACTTCAGGTCATACATGTGCCTCATATCACACAATCCCTGTGACATGCCCACAGCAGTTCCCCTTAGTAGCACAGGCTAACACATTACTTGCAATTGCTTTTCAAAAGCACAAACTGCCAACATCCTTGTAAATCCAGTGGATGTTTGCTCTGACATGAGAAAAATAACAATGCTGCCATTGCTGATCTCTTTCTAAAATCCTATTTACCTGACTTTCTCTGCTTCTATAATTACTAAGGGCCCATTCACAACAGATGCAGTGCGTTCTGGGCCGATTCTGGCTGGAACACACTGCCTCGCATTGCAGCCGGCTCTTCATTTTACCTTAAATATGAACAATGGTGTTAATGAACAGGTATATTTACAGTAAAGCCGGTGTTATACTGAACATGCAAAAGATCTGCTTTGACTGCTGTGGCCTCTTCAGAAATGTATGCAATTGTTTTGTGGATAATGGAATAACAGGAAATGAAACACTTTAGACAATACATGTCAAGCTGATCTAAAATCTGTCCACGGTCTGGCTAATAATCATCCACAGCATGAATAGCAATATAATATTATGTGGAATCCTCTCAAATCAGCACAGAGGTCCCTCTGCCGTATTCATTTTCCAGCGTGAAATCACTTGTGTGGTTAGAAAAATGTATTTGTCAAAAACAGTGTACCAGTATCATTTACTTGTTATCACTCTGTCTACTGCAGCCTCAGGTGACACATTTAGTGTATATAGTTACTGAAACTTTTCCCTAAAAGAGAATGCAGAACATTGGTTCCCTTTTCTAATAGTTGATGGGGTCAAACTGACGATTATTTTTGACCATAGTGACCCAAAAAAAATCAAAGGCGCAGGATGGAAAATTCTTCTCAAACAAACAAAATTCTAACAGAGAATGTGTTTTTCATTTGAGAAACTCCATTGATTCAAAATCAAATGATAAATTCAAAGTACATTTCGAACAACATTCATCAAGTCTTTAATGGCATTATCGAATGTTCTGAGATTTCTCGTATGAAATCTAATTCAACAATCTACCAGTGTACAGCCAGCTTAAGAGTTAGTAAACATATAGGGGGTTATTCACTAAAGAGCCGAAGGATCCAGCTCTAGCTTCGACTGATCCTTTGGCTTGCTTCGGCCGCCTATGCCCTTCGGTTAAGTCAAACCGAAGGGCTGCTGTATGGGCTATTCACAGTAGCCCGTACAGCAGGTGAAGGCAGCCGAGCCGAACACATATGACACCTGAAGCGTGGAGAAAGGTCGGCTGATCTCCACGCAAATGACAGCTGGGCAGAGTCAGCTGGGATCTCACGGCTCGCTCCGCCCAGTTGTAATGACAGATCAGCATCACCAAATGACCTGGGGATGCTGATCTGTCATTAAACAATAACAACTGGGTGGAGACGGCCGTGACGTCACGGCCGTCTCTGCTCAGTTGTTATTCATTGGCCGGTACCTGCTAGAAGACTCTGGCAGGTGCCGGCCAATAAGAAACAGTTGGGCGGAGCAAGCTGTCCTCGCTAGCTCTACCCAATTGTTTTTATTTTGGCACCATCTGTCAGATGCTTTATTATGCGGCGGAAGTCTGTCGCATGCGGTTGGGTCGGCATGCGTCGATTTCTTTTTATTATTTTTTTTTCTTTAAAATATTTTTAGTTTTGTTATTATCTTATATTTTTATTTTTTTTTCCATTTATTTAACTGTTTTGCTATTCTGGTCGCTACCTCGGAGATACTGAGCAGAATAGCCAAGCTGAATGCCGCTCGGCCCCTATGAGAATAGGGATGAACAGCAGCAAGTGACCTACCAGAGCTTCGGCTCAGTCGATCCAGATGTTTGATCGGCTGAGTCGAAGTCTTCCTACACTTCGGCTCAGCCGAACATGCAGAACTTGTTCGGCTGACCGAAAGCAGCTGATTTTAGCAGATGTATGGCTGAATTCAGCCGTACAAGGCTGAAGTGAATAGCTAAACAGCGTTTACACTTCACTTCGGCTTGGTTATTCACTTGGCTTTCTTCGGCAGCTTTGTGAATAACCACCATAATGTATGTACTTGGGACATCCATATGTGCTCATAGATAGTTGCACTGTGTTTCCTACTTCATAATATAGTACAGGGATTGTGCATTACTATTCCTCTCTCTCAATGCAAACCTGCACCCAGGGAACACGTGCCGCCCTGTTCCGCTCGACGCCTGTGCATATGCATTTGTTAATTTCACACTGAGGGGACCACCTCCTCCTCCTGATGAAGCTAACTGCGGCTCAAAACTCGTAGAGCACAGTAATGCGAGTTCAGAATTTCCTCTGAGCTTTGCAAGTACTGCATCATCACCCACCAATTTTGGTTCCACTAGAGGTTTTTGTCACTTCAGTCTATGGATGAATTTCCTTATTGATTGTATCCAATTATGAACAACTAATCATGTTTTCAATTACACTTTTATCATGCCTTCTTAACTCTTATGTGGAACCTAGGGGGTGTTAGGAGGCTCTAATCAAACTGTGTGTCTTGTTTTATACCTATATGCATTCATTGGTGCTTTTTATCTTTTATACTTAATTAAAAATATATTTTTATACATAATTGTTGTTCGAAGCTTTTTGGTACTTGTCAATTGATGCCGACAAAACCCCAACTTTTCTTTTTCTTCTTTAATATTTACAGTGACTTAGCAGTAAAGAACATTTTCTTTTTGCTTTTCAAACGTTTCTTAAACCTCTCTTTGTAGTGTTATTCTACTTTACTCTTGCACTTTTTGGCAAGTGAAATAATATATAGACAGGTCAGCAGAGAAATTTAGTTAGCAGATTTCCTTTCCTTCAAGCTTTGGTTTGCTACATGGCTGATAAGAAAAGGGCCTTCCTGGTTTAGTGCCTCCTGCTTAACAAGCACTTTATAACCTCTGCGTCTGGCCCGCTGTCCCTTAGAAAATATAGACAGCTTCACATATAAAGCGGCAGCTGTTTCCGGGCCTGCTTGACATGCACTGAAGGTAATAATGTTTATTTGATCTCATTGCAGCTTGAATGAACGTGACCACTTGTTGAAGAGACTTGGCAGGAAGACCCCTCCGAGCCTGTTTCGTGCTAATTCTGTCCAGCAAGGTGTATCATGTAAGTATGTAAGTGTAAATAATACAGATGGCTGCTTCCTGCAGGTGGGGATTTGATTTTAATTAAAGTGTGCAGCAGCATGTGGAGGTGATATGGGAGGAAGCTTCGGCTAGGGGACTGCTGTTTGAGCTGTGGGCCCCAGGCTAAAAGTAAGCTTTGAGAGGGTGATGTCTGTTTTTTATGTTTTGATAAGAGATGGGCAGAATCCTTTTCTATATATCATTCTCCAAGTTGGAAATGATATATAGTTGAGATTTAACAATAGGTTAATGACTAGTTATGTAACATGTCATACTAACTTACTAGATGACGGCATTCTGTTACATTCTGACTACATTTGTTAGGCTTCCCATGCATGGCCTGATAGCCACAATTTATTCAGCCTGAGCTTTTATCAAGTCCTAAAAAATTTCCGGATGAAAAGTGTACAGTATGGCAACCTATACTGTGCACTCCAGCCCTGGCTAAGTAGCCCTGTAAAATTAGGGGTTCAACAATGCAGGCTGACAGGCGGAATATGTGTAATCCCAAAGAATGCAATGACCTGTAAGGAACCTGTTGTTAAGTGACCCTGTAATTATGACCTTCATTTTGTGTATGTTCATTGAATGGATAATAGATTTCCCGGAAAACCTAACAAGTTTATAATACAGGACCTGGATTACATAGAACCTGTTCAGAATTCTGAATAATACTGCAAATCTTTAAGCATCTGTCTGAGGTGTATGCTAGTAACCATGTAATAAAGTTGTTTCTGTGTTATTTTATTGGTCATTTACTGTTACATTTACTTGTAATTTAGTTTTACAAATTGTAATAAATGCGTAACTTGGGCCTACATAGAAAGACGGGTGGAAAAGTAGGAAATACGTGGTTTACGTATTTGTAGAGTAAAGGCTTCCTTTACTCTACATTCATATGCCAGTAGCCATATGAATGTAGAGCTGCAAATGTTGATGAATACAGAAATGTACCATATTAACAGAGCTAAGATTAAAGAGGAGCTCCAGGATTTTCAAAAGTTAACCTTTGCAGTGGGTCTATCCCCCGCACTGCAAGGGTTAACTCCTGGTTTTGGTTTAGGGGTGCAAATAAAGAAAATATACTCACCTGATCTTCGATCCCGCCTGGCTGCTAGACCAGTCCCCACAGCCTCTTCTTTCCAGGGCTTCGGCAGTCTGAGGACCGCTGATATCATCACCTCTATGCAAGGTCCATTCAGCTGCATGAGACGTGAAGACACCAAGGTAAATATCACAGCCAGAGCGGAGGGGGAGAGAGGTGCCACCGTTGGGGGATCAGGTGAGTGTTTCTTCTTTCTTCTTTTCTATAGACCAAAACCAGCAGCTAACCCTTGCAGTGGAGGGAGATCCTGGAGATCTGCTTTAAAGTAAAACATTATTAATGTCTGCGATTGTGACTAGACCTCATCTGCTCCTCTACTTCATGGGTGGAACAGACAATAGACATTTTGTTCCTTGCTATGTTTGGTACACATGATAAAACATAATAGTGGAGCTTACCTTCAGCGAAATGGCTTTTCATTAGTAAGCAATCAATAGATCAGAGATATGAAAATGATATGCAACTCTTGACTTTTCCTGTAAAAGTCAGGCTTGGCCCTTCCCTCTCCTAACAAGTCAGGATCTTTACACCAGTTCTGCTGCCTGTAGTTCTGTATATTTCCACCATTTTTACATTACGGCTGAGCTCCAGATTAAAAGTTATTTCATTCTTCCAATCCCATCGCCCCTTTGTAAATCTGCGCCCTCTGAATCCCTAAATTCTGCTTCCAAAATTGTGGTCACAGGACCATTCCTGCCGCATTGGAAGGCTTCCTTTAATCGAGCCTTGGGTGGGGAATAGCAGGACACACACCAGTGACATGCTGCCATTCTGGGTCTACATTTCACAATAGTCATATCATAGCTGCTCAGGGTGGGTGGAGGTGGGTGTACCAAGGAGCAGATTATCTTCTTGAGTAACACCCCACTATCTAACAATACTGCATGGCACATTAGAGTCCAGAGCACTACAAAGAGTGTTTGTCCCTGATAGCCCGACTAGAGGCAGGATAGTGCTGAATGTCACGTAGATCGATGGTCAGGGAGCAGGAATAAGCTGTAAGGAGAATTTGAGAGGAGACTAAAAGTAGCACAGGAGTATCACAACAGGAAGACGTTAGAAGACATCCCTTACACAAATATCTAAAAGAAGGCAAGACTTGAATTTACTGAAGGTAGCCTCTGCTTTTGCATTTCTCCAACATATGTTAATATGTGATGAGTTTACTTTATTTCTGAAAGCTTTAGCTGGTTGTTTCTACACCTTCATGTATATGGTCATGCTTTAAATAAACTTGCCTGCTGTATGTGCCATAATAATTCTCTTTTTGGGCAACCATGGATGCACATGGGAGAGCTAGAACACACCCAGATGACCCTCCAATTGCTAATAGCAACATGAGAAAATACAGAAACCAGAGAATGTAATTGTGGCTGTGCAGTGCTCAAACACGGCCTCTGTCACCTGAGGATTTCAGCATTAGATCTTTGCTTTGGATAAGATGGTACATTTCTGTTGTAATGTTTATATAATAGGCACTTAGGGGTCTATTCACTAAGCTGCCGTAGGCAGCCGAGTGAATGACCGATCTGAAGTGAAGTGAGCCGAACACTGTTCGGCTATTCACTTCAGGCTGGTACGGCTGATTTCCGCCGTACATCAGCTAAAATCAGCCGTACATCGGCTTGCTTCGCATGCCTTCGGGTCGGCCGAACATGCTCAGCATGTTCGGCCGACCCGAAGTGCAGAAGGAGTTCGACTCAGCCGATCCAACATCTGGATCGGCTGAGCCGAACCTCCGGCAGGCTAATCACTGCTGTTCGGCCTATTCTTAAAGATGCCGAACAGCAATGAGTGAATAGCCGAATGCCGCTGAGCGGCATTCGGCTCGGCTGTTCATTACAATCTAAAAGTATATAGCAATACACAGAGTGGCTTCACCTGGAAGCAACCCTATCATCCTAAAAGGTACAAAAAAACAACAACACACCAGAGACCCCCTATGATAAGTAGCAGCATTAAACTTTAAAAATAAATATATGTTTATCTTTCCCTCACCATATGTACTTCAGGGGTAATGTCAAGCTCCTTCCAACAAGATTCTGGGGAATGCAAACAAATCTCATGAAATGGTGCCCAGTACAGCACCCTACCCTAGGTGACATGGGTGAAAGGTTAATTTAGTTATTTCATCACTTTTTGCGTTTGGTTTGTTTTTGTTTTCATTTTAAAGCAGCTCTTAATGATGGGCTATTAATATTAAGCTGACTTTGCATTTTTACGGCCAGGTCTGCTTTAAAGGTGTACATATTTCAGTAGGTAAGACTGTTTTCATTTTAAAGGTTCCTATTGTGACTGTTGGGATGTTTCATTCTTTTTGTCTCACAACGATTGGCACATGTCACAAGATCTTCATGCACCCTCTACCTATACCCCACCACAAACCTGTCTATATCTGTTTTAGCAGTCTGTTTCAGCACCAGATTACCAACACTGTTTTAAAATAAATGAAAGGAATAGTAGGGAATTTTGATCACAATATGCCAGGCATGCTAAGTCCAGTTGGTGAGGCGCTATCAGTGCCAGCATACTAATAGATGATCGGACATACTGGGTCTGGCAGCTTGACATCACCTGAAAAGATGCAAATGGCCCAGACCTACCTTGAACTAGTTGAATTTTTGAAGGAAATACAGGGTTGGCGGTCTGTTATAAAATGTACATGCTATGGTAATCTGCTTTGTGTAGTATGAAACAAAGCATCGCTTCCCATTGTGACATTGCTGACACCTCTCCCCATCCCCCTTCTTTTACTTTCAGATGGATTTGCATTTTCTCAAGAAGAAAACGGTGTTGTTTCTCAGTCTCAAATTGTCCGATCCTATGACACAACAAAACAGAGGATCGGGATAGAATAACAAAGGCCTTGGCGACTGGTTGCAGCAGATAATAAGCATTTGGACAATATGTCTACTGTTAACAGTTATTTGACTAAGTTTGGCCACAACAGCCAAATAATGGGAAACCTATTTCTGTGGCCTTCGCCAACAAATTTCTTAACTTCATTTTTTTTTTTCCACCAGCAGGACCTGCATGAGATTCCAATAAAACTATGCATTACAGGTCTGTCTGGGAGCTAAAATGTTATTATACATACTTATAACAGGGGCACAGTGTGCCTGCAAGTTTAACAAAACATGGTTTCATTTCCTCCTGCTGTATTCTGCTTCTGACTGTTGACGTATAACAGTTGTACTCTGGTGTTAAACAGATACAATTCTGCATTAAGGACTATTGTTCCATGTAGAAAGGTTACAGTACATTGAGGGATGCTGGTGAATGGGTCTTCTACTTTCAGATGACCTTCAAGAGGCAGTCCAACCAAACTGAGCAGAACCTGGTTTATGAGTAACACAACCCTTCCTGAGATCTCAACTTCATGCTCTCTTCAACCCTGGTGGCCTTACTTATGCTTAATGCTAGCAATTGCAAAACAGGCTGATTTTTTTTCATAAAGCCCAGTAAGGAGCGAATGACCACAATGCTCAACATAAAACTGGGCAGGGCTAAAGCCAGGCTTGTACTGTGGATATTCTTGGTGAGGTCTTCAAAGATTATAAGAAATTGGTAAGTTAATCACTTGACTTGTACCATCTCTTCACTGTGTTGCTTTTTTCTTAGCCTAGTTCCGAACATTTGAAGATTATGTTTTTATACAGCAATAGAAGTGTTTTGTTCCTCAATGATGGACTGTAAAGCCCATATTCACCTTTTTAAAAACCGTTCCCCGACCCTCTTCCTAACCCCCTCAATACACCTCTGACACTCCAAAAGGGTCTGTGCTTACCTCCTCCGAGAGTTGTGGCCTCCCGTGCTGTCTGCAGCCTGGCCTGTAAATATCTAGTGCTGGTTTTCCTGTGCCCGCAACAGCAACAGACAGCACAGGAGGCCCAGGATGTCATAGGAGGTAAGTATGGACCTGTGGGAGGGGTGGCACAGGTTAGTCTATTGAGGAGGCTAGGGTTCTTCTTTTTTTTTTTGTAGAAAGGTGGGGATGCCCTTTAAAGCTGCTCCCTTGACACAGGAGAACCATAGAAAGGGCTGAGCTTATTCTTATAACAGAGCTACAACTGCTTACATTTATACATTTGGTGCCTGCTAACACTAAAGGAAACCACATCAGAAAGGTCATAGGTTGCAGGTAGTAAAAGATGCACCACTGCAACTGCAGTGGAGCCGATACTCAGGCAGATCTGACTGTTCTACCTGCACCTGCATATGGCCATGCAGATGCAACACCTAAGTCAAACTTCTGGTGGAGACCACATTCAAATTTAAAACTGAAAGGCAGAAGAGATTGTTTGGAAAGAAGAAAATCCCTTTAGGATCTGTCGTAAGAAAAATTACCAAACTACTCTATGTATGCATAATGTACAGACACATAAATATACATGTATATAAACCTTCAAAGCCTGTTTGGCCGAATGCAAGGCTGTTCTGACATACAAAGTTCTGACACTCCATAGTGGTGTCAGAACTTGTTGCTACCTTCTGCACTTACATATTCCTATCGGCCAATCACGATGATGGGCTGCCTAACTGGCCAATTGGAATAAAAAGGGGCAAGCTAGTTTCAGGAGCTGGAGCTTTGCCTGTCAGAACAGCCAAGCATTTAACCATAACAGTGTCTGTTGCACTTATACCTGCAGCAGTTCTGATATTACCCCCTCTCTTTAAAGCTGAACTCCGGACAATTTAAATCCTAACCCCTGCAGTGGGGCTTCCTCCACACTGCAAGGGTTATGTGCACGTTTTGTCTGTGGAGGTATAAGAAAAAAAATTATACTCACCTGATCCACAATCCTAGCTTGCTCTTAGACTGGCCCCTTCAGCCTCGCTCCTAAGGTCCTGTGAGTCATCATGTTCTATACAGTGTATAGGATGTGAGGACGTCCAGGGACATACCATCACTTTTGCAGAGGAGGGACAGGCTGGAGGTTGCGGTGTAGGAGTCTGCAAGGATTGCGGTTCAGGTAAGTATAACTTTGTTATTTTAGCTCCCTAGAAAAAAAAACGAGCACTTAACCCTTGCAGTAGAGGGGTAGCCCTACTGCAAGGGTTAAGATTTGATTTGCCCGGAATTCTGCTTTAAGTGAAATAAGAAATCTTTTGAATAGCAGATTTCAGCAGAGGTTTTACATCGCTTTATGCAGCACTTATGGACGTATGATTTGTGGTTACAGATAGATACAATGCTGAACTTTTGCCGGACATCAAGCCCCAGGGCTAGTGCAAATGACTTTTTGCTCTCACATACATCATGTTTATGCCTTTTTTCAGCTGGAATACTAAAACATGAAACGCACAATAGAAGCTACAGAAAACACCAGTGCAAGACTAAGCTCATGCTCATCCAGAACTCTTGCCAAGTCTGTAGCTGCACTAACACTTTTCAGGGATGGGGTGCTGCTGGGAGGGACCTATACATTGAATAGGGGCTTCATCATATATGTGGACAGATGTTGTAATGCAATCTTATTTTAACATGACAAAGAGAGATTTTTTTAATAAGTTTAGTATAGTATGGTTTAGACTTTGCCCTTAAGCTAGCCATACACACTAGATTTTCTATGGTCGGCCACTGGGCTGAATGAGAGGAAATTCCTCAATTACCCCCATCCACACTAAAAGGGCATGGATGGAGGAAACTCCACTGCCGGCCATTGTATTTATGTTACACGTGACTGACTGAATAACTGAAAGGTGACTGCATCTGATAGGACGCAGTCACTGTTTGGCCTAGAACTTTCCACCTTTTTGTTGAGCCAAGTGGTGCAGACAGGGCCACCCTGGGCTTGAATTTTGGCCGAATCTGCTGAAATCCACTCCATGTATGGCCAGCCTCAGTTAGAAATTGTACTGAGATTCTCAGGTATTTTTGGAAAGGTTACTTAAAAGTAATTAAGGATGTGAGTTTCACCTTTTTACACGCTTGCCTTGCCATATTTTTTTGATGGTACTTCATAATCGGGGTAGTAGGCTTTGCATTTGGGGGCTCTCTGTATCATAGAAAGTAACACCCTGCTGAACAACTGCTAAGATGCAATCATGATAAACCACACCACTGCTGGTGAAAGAGAAGTGAAGCTGCTCTTTACAGTGAAGCTGGCTATATACTGGTTGAGTTGCAGGTGAGTCCTGCTGAACTTCGACCAGTGTGTGGTCTGGGCAAAGTGAGTGTTTTTGTAAGTACCCACTGATGATCTCAATGAGCAAAGTGTGTTTCTTTAAAGTACTTTCAACATGCTTTTGTTTGCAATGACCGTAAAACAAAACAATACTTCTGGTGGCAGGCTGCCTTGATCCATATGATCATTTTTGTTGTTAGATAATTGCCTGTGTACATGGCTTGCATAAGGCACAGTGATTGTGCAATACTACTAAGCAGGTAGGACAGTATGTACAGCTGAAGTGTAAATATGACTGCCCCATATACATACATTATATAATTGCTAACTATGCCTACAAAGTTTTTAAAATAACATACAATGATTATTTTTGTTAAGCTGATCCCTTTAACGGTGTTTACCATTGAGTTTATACAGTTCTTTGCCATAGGATGGTAATGTGCTTGTGGATAACTGTCCTTGTGGTGATGAACAGTGACTGCAGGTCTGTTAGTACATATAATCTATAGGTTAACTATGACTATAATGGAAGGTGTATTTTGTTTTAAAGTGACACTAAACTCAAGAGTTACATTCAAGTACCTTAAAGGAGAACTATGGGGTCAGTGTTTTTCCCCATAGTTCTCCTTGGAGTAACGGGAGGACACAAACTAGCGTCCTCCCGTTACCCTAAGCTCAGTATACCGCGAGCTACAGCTCGCGGTATACTGAGACGCCGCACCTGGAGCGGATCCCGACTTAGATGACGGGATCCGCCCAGCTGCGTGAGTGACAGCTGGCTCTGCCTATCTAGAGGCAGAGCCAGCTGTACCCGCCCCCTCCCCCGTCCGTTCCGCCAGTCAGCGCTGGCAGATCGGAGCGGGGAGGGGGGAATCCAGCCCCTCCCCCTGTCACGGCAGAGAGCCATGACAGGATCGAGAGGTGAGGGAACCCGGTATGTGTTCTCTCACCTCCCGATCTACTGAGCCGACCTGTGACAGTCTCATTGTCACAGGTCGGCTTAGAACTATGAGGTGAGTGGAAATCACTCATGTCATAGTTCTCCTTTAACTATTAACAATACTGAACCTTATTTGTGTATCACTCAGCTGTAGTTCCTTAACCACTTCTGGGCCGCAATACATCTATACAGCGGCCCGCAGGCGTTGCTAAACAGCAGCCATGTTCTTGGTGTCGTTTTAAACAGCCAGAGATGGCTGTTAATGTACAAGTGATCTGGAGTCTATACAGCCGGCAAATCGTTTGTACAGTGTGGCGTTGTGTCCTCCCCCGCCGGGGACGCTTGTTAGCCCCCTATGTGATAGCAATAAGGTTAGTGTAAACAAGCAAAAATGAAAAAAGTTTTTTTTTAATGTCACATATAAAAAAATGCAAAAAATGTTTTACAGTCACCCGCTCCCAACGTGCACGCACATACACACGCAAACACACGTCAGTGCGCCTATGTGCAAAAATGAAAATTGCACTACACATGTTACATATCGCCGTGAACGTAGGAGTTAGAGCAATAATTCTTGGGCCATCAATCACTGGTAACACTAAACTGATGAGCGGTAAAAGCTTTTAAAGTGTCGCCTATGGGAAATTTTGGTTATAGTAGTTTTTTGCGGCTTCGTGCCTGAATGCAATTTTAAGGTTTGACATGTTTGGTATCTATTTACCCGACGTGACCCCGTCTTTTATATTTTACCAAAAATGTCGGTATCATATTCTATTTTTGTACACTAAACTTAATTTTAGTGTATTTTATCCTAAAAATACTGTTTTGATAAACATTTGCGCAAATACTGTGTGACATAAAAAATTGCAGCTAGCATCTTTTTATTCTACAGAGCCTCTGCTTTCAGAACATATATCATTGTTTGGGGGTCTGAAGCTGTTTTCTGGCCAAAAATTTTGATTATATCATGTGTGTTCAAATAGTAAGACATTGCTCCGGACAGCGAGTGGTTAAATCATCTTTGAATTGGTGCTGACACTGTCCTTCCTTCTGGAGGGTGGCTACTTTTGGTCTCCATGGTCCCTGTGTGTGTTGTTAAGTAGCCACCGCTCCAAGCTCGCTCATATGATGGACTACAATCTCAGTACAAATTAGTAAACTAAACATGAGATTGTAGTCAATCACGGGAGCGAGCTTGGAGCGGTGGCTACTTTACAACACACACAGGGACCATGAGGAACAAAAGTAGCCCCCCTCCAGAAGGAAGGACAGTATCAGCACCAATTTAGAGATGATTTGAGGATCTACAGCCGAGTGATACACAAACAAGGTTCAGTATTTTTAGTAGTTAAGGTGCTTGAATTCATTTTTAGGATGTAACCCCTGAGTTCAGTGTCACTTTAACATTGTGATGTAAGAAAGCAGAAATGACAGTACATCATGAAAGAGCCACCTATATGTCTCACATTGTCAGGGCTGGTTGGAC